CCCCCAGTCCCTCCCAGTTCTCCCAGTACGTCCCAGCTCTCAAAGTCACTTTCACCCTCGCTCGCCGCTCGCCGGAACCAACGAGTCACGCCGGAAGCCACGGAGAGTCGCCGGAGATGACGTCACTAAAGACCACAGAGCGGCGCTTTTCAGGCCGGAGAGTCTCCACTGGGAGGAAAAATGGCGGCGGCGCCGAGCCGAGAGTCCGCCGGAACCGCCCGGAAACGGCGCCAAAACACCGGAAAAGCCTCGTTACAGCCCCAAAACCACCAGTTTTTACCTCAAAATCCTCACTTTTCTCCTAAAATCCCGGTTTTTCACCCCAAAAATCCCCATTTTTGTCCCAAAATCCCCGTTTTTTACCCCCAAATCCCCTCAGGATCCTCCTCGGGGCGCTCTGAGGGAACTTCCGCCCAAAAGGGGGCGGGGTTTGAGCGTCGGGAGCGGCATGCGCATGCGCGGGGGGCTGCGGAAGGGACTCTGCTTGTGGCGTCATTTCCGGTTCCGGCAGAGGCGCGCGAGCCCCGCGTGGAGAAAGCGGCGCGATGAGGCCGGGTGGGAACTGGGATGGACTGGGATGAACTGGGGGGGACTGGGGGGGATTGGGATGGACTGGGAGGGACTGGGGGGGACTGGGAGGGACTGGGATGAACTGGGAGGGACTGGGAGGGAACTGGGACAAACTGGGAGTGAACTGGGAGCGACTGGGATGGAGCCAGAGCTGAACTGGGGACACTGGGACAAACTGGGAGTTACTGGGAGAGGATTTGGGGGTAACTGGGATAAACTGGGACAAACTGGGTGGGGGGACTGGGAGGAATTGGGGGTTACTGGGAAGGGACTGGGATGAACTGGGCCATACTGGGATGGAGGCAGAGCTGAACTGGGGACACTGGGAGGGGACTGGGAGGGACTGGGGGTAACTGGGTTATACTGGGAGGGACTGGGGGTGGCATTGGAGCCAAACTGGGAGCACTGGGAGCCTCCGGTTCCCTCCCAGTATAGCCCAGTCCATCCCAGTCCCTCCCAGTCCATCCCAGTCCCTCCCAGTCCCTCCCAGTCCCTCCCAGTCCCTCCCAGTTCCCTCCCAGTCCATCCCAGTCCATCCCAGTCTAAACCAGTTCCCCGCAGGTTTCAGCCCCCGGGGTGGACGTGGCGGCTTCCGAGGCAGAGGTGAGTCCCAGTATAAACCAGTATAAACCAGTACGGACCAGTACCCCAGGGCTGCCCGTGCTGGGAGCCCCAGTGCCCTCCCAGTCCCTCCCAGTATAAACCAGTACCCTTCCAGTATCCCCAGTTCCCATTCCAGTATAGCCCAGTATAACCCAGTATAACCCAGTATAACCCAGTATAACCCAGTATAACCCAGTATAACCCAGTATAACCCAGTACAGCCCAGTATAACCCAGTATAGCCCAGTATAGCCCAGTATATCCCAGTATATCCCAGTCCCCCCCAGTATCCCCAGTTCCCTCCCAGTATAACCCAGTTCCCCTCCCAGTTCATCCCAGTCCCTTCCAGTATCCCCAGTTTCTCTCCCAGTATAACCCAGTTCCCCTCCCAGTCTCTCCCAGTATAACCTAATTCTTTTCCCAGTATATCCCAGTATAGCCCAGTGTCCCTCCCAGTCTCTCCCAGTTCTTCCCAGTATCCCCAGCTCCCCTCCCAGTCCAAACCAATTGCTCTCCCAGTCTCTCCCAGTATAACCCATTATATCCCAGTTCCTCCCAGTATAACCCAGTTCCCCTCCCAGTTCATCCCAGTTCCTTCCAGTATCCCCGGTTTCTCTCCCAGTATATCCCAGTATAACCCAGTTCCCCTCCCAGTCTCTCCCAGTATAACCCAGTTTCCTCCCAATTCTTCCCAGTATAAACCAGTATATCCCCAGTTCCCCTTCCAGTCTCTCCCAGTATAATCCACTCTCTCCCAGTATAACCCAGTTCCCCTCCCAGTGTCCCCTGTTCCCTCCTAGTATGAACCAGTATAAACCAGTATAACCCAGTTCCCCTCCCAGTCCCTCCCAGTATCCCCAGTTCCCTCCCAGTTCCTCCCAGTATATCCCAGTATTACCCAGTTCCCTTCCAGTACAAACCAGTATAACCCAGTTCCTCTCCCAGCGTAAACCAGTACAACCCAGTATAACCCAGTTCCCTCCCAGTACAAACCAGTATCCCCAGTCCCTCCCAGTACAAACCAGTATAACCCAGTTCCCTCCCAGTACAAACCAGTACAAACCAGTATCCCCAGTCCCTCCCAGTACAAACCAGTATAACCCAGTTCCTCTCCCAGTGTAAACCAGTACAACCCAGTATAACCCAGTTCCCTCCCAGTACAAACCAGTACAAACCAGTATAACCCAGTTCCCTCCCAGTACAAACCAGTATAACCCAGTTCCCTCCCAGTACAAACCAGTACAAACCAGTCTCCCCAGTCCCTCCCAGTACAAACCAGTATAACCCAGTTCCCCCCGCAGGTTCCGGTTTCACGCCCCGCGGAGGAGGCGGAGCCAGAGGAGGGGGCGTGGCCCGCGGCGGGGGCGGAGCCAGAGGAGGAGGCGGAGCCAGAGGAGGCCCTCGTGGGCGTGGCCGCGGCCGAGGGGGCGGGGCCAGGGGCGGAGCCCGCGGCGGCTTCAAAGGCGGGAAAAAAGTGACGGTGGAGCCGCACCGGCATGAGGGTAACTGGGGATACTGGTTTATACTGGGAGGGGCTGGGAGGGGAACTGGGGATACTGGGAGGGACTGGGAGGGTAACTGGGGATACTGGTTTATACTGGGAGGGGCTGGGAGGGGAACTGGGGATACTGGTTTATACTGGGAGGGGCTGGGAGGGGAACTGGGGATACTGGTTTATACTGGGAGGGGCTGGGAGGGGAACTGGGGATACTGGTTTATACTGGTTTATACTGGGAGGGGAACTGGGGATACTCCCCAGCCCAGGTGTGTCTCAGGTGTCTCTGTCATGTCTGTCACCTGTTCTGCCTGCCCAGGTGTTTCCCAGGTGTACATTAGGTCTCTCAGGTGTATTCCAGGTGTGTCCCAGGTGTCTCTCACTTGTCTCACCTGTCCCAGGCGTGTGCTAGGTCTATCCCAGCTGTCTGTCACCTGTCTCACCTGTCCCAGGTGTGTCTCACCTGTCTCTCACCTGTCTCATCTGCCGGGGCCGCGAGGACGCGCTGGTGACGCGGAACCTGGTGCCGGGAGAGTCGGTGTACGGCGAGAAACGGATCAGCGTCGAGGTACTGGGAATACTGGGAGTACTGGGAGTACTGGGAATACTGGGAATACTGGGAATACTGGGAATACTGGGAGTACTGGGAATACTGGGAGTACTGGGAATGGCACTGGGAATGGGACTGGGAATGCAACTGGGGGGACTGGGG